CCCTTGAAGGATGAATTCAGTCACAGCTGTTTGATTTAGCATTTGGTTTCTGCAAAAATTACTGTGGAAAAAATGAAGAAACACATCAAGAAGTTGAATACTTTTAGAAATTATGTTGTCTTCTTATATCAAAGAGACAGCAAATTATGTATACACATTATATGAAATCCAGTTTTAGTGATGCCTAAGAATAAAACCACAACAAATTTAAGGTTCATTGAGTTAAATTGATTTATTTCTAAAAGCCAGATTACTATTGGGGTAAGTTTGTAAAACCTTTCAAACTGAAAGGGCATGAAACACATCTCCAATATATACTTTGAAGATATTTCTTCCCCCAGATTCAATCTGTCATCTATGCCATTTCAATCTGGCAGATTTTGCACATTTATTCGCTTAGAAGTAGATAATCTTTGAATTTTGTACCACCTACATGCCCTAGCTTGATTTTTGTGGCCCCAGAGTACCCAAAGCTCACAGTGCCACATTTTGGAGTGAAAGTATCTATTTTTAGCTATTCATGTTCCAGGTTTTTAAGAAAATGGGCAACAAAAATTGCAGATTAAATACCCAGGAGTCTATTCACATATGCTTTTCACCTTACCATACCGAGCACACAGACTTACTGGGAAAGGGTGGTGGGATTTGAACATTTGTCACCCTATGCCATGGTGATATCACTACTTCACTATCCATTTCCTGCATAGCTATCAGAGGCTTTAAATGTCAAGGATCTCATTTAAGTCACATTCAGAGAAGTATATATGACACTAGTAAGGTTCAAAATTATAACTTTCACAAGTGTATGAGTCAGCATTTTGGTAAAGACATAATATCTTACCTCCTTCTTTGTGGCTTCGCCTTCATATTTCTACCTCTTGGGAACCATATTTTGAGAGGATCCATAAATAGAAGGCATATTGCATACCTTGTACTACCGACTCTAGAAAATGGAGCTAATGCCACATATGATATGAGAGATACTAGGGTGAGAAGGATTTTTCTCAGTCTCAGTTGCCACCAACCTTTTTCTGAGGGCTAGATATCTGAGCTGACCAAGAAATGTTTCTCTCACGTTCCTTCTGTTATTTTCCAATGATCTATTACTACTTTGATATTCTCTCTCTTCCTTTTTCTGCATGGGTTGGAACTTTTTTACAGTACTTTAAATTTCTTGCTCCAATCCTTTTCTCCAACCTACTATGCATTTCTTCTTTTTTCCTTCTCTTCTCTCAATATTACCATGTCTGGTTATTAATCCCCATTTGCTCTTCATTTACTTTCTTCACTCTTCCCCTGCTACAATTCCACTTACTAAATCTATCTCCTGAAACTTGTACTTTTATCCATGTTCCACCAACTGTTATTGGTCACTGGTACCGAGTTTCATAATACAGTATTTGGGCAGTATCTACTGGTAAGATTATTTCTATTCAATAATATATCTCATGTCTGACCCACTTGTGTAAAATGTTTTGCAAAGAGAGGTTCGAAGATGAGATCTTGGTACCCAGGAGACTGTTAAGCAGAGACTATGTTGTAAGCAAGAGCTTTTAATTAAAGAGTCTTTAAAACTATCATCCCAGACCAAATATGAACCTTAGAAATGAATGTGGGGATGTTATTTTCTTAGCCTTCATCGCCTTCCACGAGAACTATATTTGTCAAACAGATTTCTCTGATGTCAGAATGTGGGCCCTTGCCGCACCAGCTGCAGCCTTTGTCCTAGTACTGAGACAACATGCACATTGCAGGTTTTACAGAAGAAAGTGAGTTTCAGATCAGAAGAGTACTGGCCAACATGCCTTAGCTTTTGGATTGAGGTGTTCAGAACAAGAAAGAAAGAAAGCAAAAGGAGGGCTGAAAAACCATCCTAAATATAAAGAGATACTAGAATAGATGCAGGATGGGGAAACAGGAAGGAAAGCTGGTATATATTTTCACTTCAGAATCCTGGTTCTTGAGAATTAGTGGTAGACATTTCCTCTAAAAGTTCATGGAAGGAGGAGAAGGAAAGAATGGGATTTCCATAAGAAGCTCCTTACCAGTGCTCATTGATTGGGTCAGTTTAACATAATTAATCCTTCATATCTGGAACCCACTTTTTTCCTGAGGTTGGAGACTGAGTGCAATTGAGAGGATAGGTACTGGCACATGATTCCTCTGTCTGAGCTGGAACCAGCTAATCAGAAGTAGTTGCCTGGCTCTTTCAGGATTTTAAACCCAATTTAGCAGGGCTGCTCCAATAAACTGTAACAACTGGCAAGTATGCTTTTTGTTTTAATTAGCAGATGCTAATCTCCTTCTGAAGACAAGTTAAATGTTTTGCATTCACTAGAAATAAAATACCATAATAATAGATAATATAATAAAATTCCATAAAATATTCACCTTTTAGAAAATAATATAGTATAGCTGTTGTCATTCACCTCTTCACTTTGCAGAGCAAGTAGATATTGGAACTGGGAGTAGGTAGTACAGATAAGCTTCATTTATTCTGATTTCAAGTAGCTACTCCTTAGACCTCCATTATACATAGCAGTCAAGTCCCAGAGGAAGTAGTAAAACATATCTTGGGGGAAAAAATCCACAGGATTAGGGAAATTAGTGGCTTTATTCTTCCTGAGATATATTTTATTCTCCCTTCCCAGCAATTCCCATTAGGAAAACTCAAATATTCCTTTTATGGGAGGCACATTTTCCCATGTTCTGGACCTGGCTCAAAATGTATATCAAAAGCTTTACTCAATTCACTGGGGCCAAGGGACTCTTTCTTTCTTTCTTTCTTTCTTTCTTTCTTTCTTTCTTTCTTTCTTTCTTTCTTTCTTTCTTTCTTTCTTTCTTTCTTTCTTTCTTTCTTTCTTTCTTTCTTTCTTTCTTTCTTTCTTTCTTTCTTTCTT